TTTTGAGAGAGAGGGATAGCAGTGGTATTTAGAAGTGTGGTCAGAGATTATATTGGGGAGGTTTGAGCCAACGGAAAAGGGTCTAAAAGCTCCAGAACTTCTAGGTCATCACGTTTGCCTTGGTAGATCTCCCAAGTGCCTTGGGACAATAAAGCAAAGGCCAGGAATTCATGTTACCTCATTCTTTTCTGTCCACACACTGCACACAGGAAGGCTCAGGTCTCAGCTCCCTAGGATTTTGCTTGGGCTTGGTGATCAGCAGCTGTGGCCTCCAGTGACTTGACTGCTCTTCAAACCCTTCTACCAAAGAAAGGTAAGCTCTCAAAGGCATCAGACTAGGTGATCAATAATCATAGTTGGAGATCATGCCTCCCTTCCCTTCAAGCATCTCTCATGCTGTAAATTCAAGGACCCCTGACTCTCTTTCAAGAATCAATCAAGAAAATATTAAGCAGCTTAAGCACAAGAGCATCCTGGTAAAGAAATACAACTTTTCTTTAATAAGGTCAGTAGTTTTTGAGATATTTGATCACTAAAGCCTTTACATGGAACAGTATATTCTCTGCAGAAAAGGCTAGAGAACAGGGCAAACTACTACATCAAACACTGTTTTATCAAATCAACTTGCAGACAAATACAACAGATGTACCAGTGAGTACTGCTGAGTTGCAACCAACCATCTGGCTCACACTGGCAGCCAGTGGTAATTCCTGGGCAATGGTTTGGGTCTTCCAAATAAGTTGACATCACAACTTTTTGTTATTGTTGTTTCCTTCCAAACAAAGAAGTGGTTTCATCCTCAGCCTGCTTCAGACTGCTAAAGGATAACGATACACTAAAGCAATCAACCCAAGGCACGCCATCTGCAACTCCGCTAACTTCAATCCCCTGAAGCAATAGGCCAAGCAAGAGCAGGAGATGGGGTTTATATGAGGTCCAGCACTTCTGCCTGGGAATGAATCATTAAACCACTAGCGTTCCAGTCCCCAACCTTACACCATCTAGTCCCCACCTAGTTGAACCATACGTAATGAAAAAGAAATCAGGAACACACTGAATGGAAAACCTCAAGTACATTTTAAATCCTGTTTTGGATTTGGATTCATTTAAATTCACAGAGGTCAAGCAACTTCTTTATTTAAGCTGAGTTATTCTGACTGGTTTAATAAGAAAAACGGTTGGACCTATTTTTCTACTAAAAAACTTTTTAAATGACTGAACAGAAGTACATCCTAAAACCGAGTACAAAATAAGAAAACAGCTTACAATAAATTTTGCCTTACAGAACAAGTATGAAGGAAAGTACCCAGTTTTTCTGGGCAATGGGAAACACCTATTTGTATATTACTAAATAGTTTTCAGGTCACAAAGTAAAGGCAAAATGTTTATTTTCTAGCATAGCATTTTTCTAAAATGTCTTACAAAGAACACCAATGCAATCACAGAAAGGCAAGTCAAATAGGTTTGAAGAGCTCTGTCTCCCTCAGCCTCCTTCAAGGAAAGGAAGGATGTGTATTTGCACATTAAAGGGTCTAGCATGTCCTGAAGCAAACTACGCGGAACTCAAGATTTCCTCAAGTATACTGGCCCCTGCATCCCTTTCCTTCTTATAACATATCAATGTCCAACAAAAAGGCTATTCTTCCCAGCACCCTGGGAAATATTCTTCTAAGAAAGGGATATAATGAAATGATTTAAGAGCCAAGGCTCTAGAATCAGACTGATTCAAACACTACTGTCACCAGTTGTCAGCTATATAACAATGGGCAGGCATCTTAATGTCACTTGTCACTCCATTCTTCCAGTTAAAATGGGCAAGATAATATCACCTACCTCCAGGGCCCTGAGCCTCTGCATCCGACCAGAACAGTCTTCTCAGATCTTCTGATTCCTTTGTGGCACTCAAGTCTCAGTTCATGCCATCATTCCCTCCCAAGACACCTTCACTGACCACCCAACAGGAAACTGGCCCCATCCTGGTCACTAGCCCTGCTGCTGCTGCTTTTCTTCATGACACTTCTCTATGTAACTATAAAATCGCTATGTATTTCTCCGCAACAGAATGTAAGCACCATGAAGTCAAATCATTACTATGACCCAAAACAGATTTGCAATGAGTAGTTATCCAACAAATGAAAGAATTAAAGAATGAATGAGGTGGTTATGAACTGAGGTAAAGAGCTCTTCATAGTGCCAGACACATAAGCATCCATATAGATGCTGCTTAAAAAATTTTTAATGAACCATCAGTGGTTAATGCATTTATATTGTTTCCAATACTTAACTTTCTGACTCCACAATGCTTCTTTTTGCTGTATTGTGTTTAAACATCTCATGACATTTATTCAGAAGTATGCTGGTAACAGCTTTTTGGGAATCAAGGAAGGTAAAGGGAAGACAGACCCTGAAAGAAGCATTTGTCATTCCCCATGGTGTTAAGTATTCCAATCCTGACCAATTTCAAGTTATTGATGGTTTAATAGATGGCTCACAAGATGCCTGAAAATTCCATGAGTGGCTCTCACAAGCCAATACAACCCTTCCCTGGGGAAGGGTCGTTTCAGGCCAGAAAGTAAGTCCTGGTTACCAAGTTTAACTTTGAAATGGATTTTTATAGAAATGCATTGTCCATATTCTCCCTTTTAATGAGCCAGGTAAGGGCTATCCACTGACTTCAGTTTAATGCTCCAGGAAACCAGCTGGATGTGTTGAGGTGTGTTTTCTGTATCACTCTCTGTGAGCTAAACTGATCCTAAACATAATCTAGTTCCAGACCAGACCATTAAAAGAAATAACAAATCTCAGAAAACACAACTGATACATTTAAATGAAGGCAGACATACAAGAGAATCAAGACACCATTTGTCTTACCAAGATGCAGAATCCAAATGCACAGCAAGAATGGTCCCACTGTGACCAAAAGATCCCAATGTAGAGTGAGGAAAGGTGCTACAGGTGGAGGTTTCTCTGGTATCACAGCTTTGCTATATTGGCAACACCATCCCTTGGCATCCAGAATAAAGCAGTAGCTGTGTCCATCTACAGTGAGCCTCTACCAATCAAAATTTGGAGAGTATACAGGGAAATTTTCAACAACCACAGTCTACATGCAAGTACTAACAGGGTAGTGGTTAGTGTTTATCTTCTATAAACGAGGTAGGAGATCTATGGGGAAAAACAGGGAGAAGATTAATTTCTGTTCTACTGTACTAGTTTTCTGTTGTCATGTAACAAATTATTCCCAAAATTTCACACTGTGAAACAACATATATTTATTATCTCACAGTGTCTGTGGGTCAGGTAGCCATGTATGGTTTAGCTGGGTTGTCTGATTCATGATCTCATAAAAAGCTGCAATTAAGGTGTCAACCCAGGGCCTTTCATTTTATCCAAAGGCTCAACTGGGGAAGGATCCACTTACAGGCTCACAAGTAGGTGTCACCAGTTTTCAGTTCTTTGCAGCTGCTGGTCTGGGTGCCTCTGTTCCTCACTGGGTGTTAGCTAGTGGATTCCCTCAGTTCTGAACCACTTGAGTCTCTCCATATAAAAGCTTGCTTCACCACAACATGCAGGCTAAGAGGGCAACAGAGCACTACAATGACAGAACTCACAGTCTTATGTAATCCACTCATGGACACGACGTTGACATTCCTTTATCCTATATTCTATTATTTAGAAGTAAGTCTCTAGGATTAGTCAAGACCCAAGGGAAAAGGATCATATAAGGTTGTGAATCCCAAGATTAGAGACCACTGAACACCATCCTACAAGTCTGCCTACTACAACCACCCTCTTGGGACACAAATGGGAAGACCAAGCCCAATCAAACATCTCCTTATGTATCTCCATAGGAAACCAAATCATGGAATTTCCCAAGCATGTTGATAAGGCCTCATGAAAACAAAATGTGAGAGGATAAAAGTAGAAGAAATTAAGCTTGAAGACACAAAAGTCTATTCAAATGTTCTAAGCAAACACTATCTACATCAGAAAAAAGCTCCCAGGAGCACCTGCATTTTAGCTAATCCCAACTTGGAAGCCATGTTTTCTGAAGAACCAAATGAATGACTTAAAAGAGGAGCTTCCCATCTGAATAGATTTGAATGCCAAGAAGTCTAGTTTGCTATGCAATCAAGTAATCTTCTGAAATTTGTATTTATGACTGCAGAATATTTTTTAAGATAGATTTCATGCCATTTTTCTGCTTGCTGTTTTCTGTGAGATCTAGCCTCCCCACAGCAGTTTTGCCACATCCACCACAGCTGCAGAAACTGCTGGAAAACTGTCAAACTTTGATGTTGCCTACATGTTTCCTAAGCTCTACACAACCACTTGGTCTCAGGTATGTGAGTCTCTCAACATTCAAAGTCAGTGGCTTGCCAGAAAGGCTGTCTCTGAAGGACTTCAAGGGATTTAATCCACTAAGGGAAAAACACATATTAAGAAAACCTGGAACATTCTGTCCTAGATAACTGTGTGCAGATGAGGATTATCTTAAAACTACAGGTTCAAAGCTAGTCTGTGCATTTTACTGTCCTTTCTAGAAACACTACCAAATTACTTTCTATTAAAACCACCCCTAATCCCTAATCCAGTTATAAAAATACTTTCGGTTCATTGTGTTGCTTGTGACCCGTATTGTACTGTTAAAGAGATACGTGATGAACACTGAAACTTAAACAGGACTGTACTTAAAAGACTATAAACCAACAGCCCTACCTGAGGAAAAAAGCAATCGCAAAGCACCTTCAAATTCATATGTGGTATACACACTTTGATCCTGAAGACATGCTGAATGGTAACAGAACATACATGTTCTGATCAGAGAACAAATGCAGAATTCCAGGTTAAGAGTCAGAGGCAGACAGGAAGGTTAGAGAGCAAATGGCAAAGGGAATTGTGTTAAGGCTGTAGCTATCTTCCAACCCAGGAAAGTAACTTGATAACACATCTTTAGTTTGTACAATAAGGCTTTGGGAATATAGGGGGGATGTTCTTACCTCTCGCAGATGTATATTCTCTTTCTCCTTTTGATCTAAAATCACTTCCAAGTGGCTGACCTGAGACTCCGCCTCTGCCATCCGCCGCGTCCGCTCATTATCATCCTCCAGGCTTTTGGATGGCAAACCCTTGCTTTGCAGCATCTCAAGAAGCTTTTTTATGGATTCATCTCGGGCATTGAGGGTTTGCTTCTGCGTTTCAATCCTCAGCTCCATCTCCTCTAATGTCTTCCTCAAAAGGAACAGCTCCTTGGCCTGCCTGTCATGCTCAGCTTGCAGCCGCCTGAAGTTCTCCTCCGTCAGCTCAATGGTGAAGTGCTCAGCTCCCCGGTTGCCACTCTCTTGCTGCAGGAGGTGATTGAGGTCTCTCTGGGTTCGCAGCTCATCCTGAAGGGCCTGGATCGTCAACTGCAGGTGCTGCAATGAGAACGAAGGTGCAGGAGAGGGGAAAGAAGAGAACAAAGTGAATGGCAACACCACGCATGATCTTGCTGCTACCACACCATGAAGATGGAATGCTAATCATGAGGTCCCGAGGGCCAGCCGTGAAGTCCTCCACGGTGACTTCAGAAGCATGGGACAGCACATGGAGAGGGGATATTAATTCAGTGATGCTTTCTGAATGTCTTAGGAGAAGAGAAATGTACACATACACAGAAACGGTATATTAGTGTCAATCACAAGGGAAGTTATACATCTACAGAGTTTTCGTTGAGGAAGTGGAAAGGGTTAGAGGGAAACTCTCACAGACACACCTTCTTGATGCCCACAGTGCTCCAGACTCAGTATTCCTTGTTTCCTAAGGAATTCTTTTTTCTAGTATCCATTATTTTCCACGATAAATGCAGGTCCATTTGAAAAATGAAAATAATAGCATCCACTACAAGTAGACACAAACAAGGACTTGATTTTTTAACAAATAAAGCTGTGAACAGGTTTAGTAAACAGGATTACTGCCTCTGCAAGCAAGAGGGAACAAATGCAGACACAGAGAGACACACTCAGACACACGAGGAAGTGAGGCTGTGCAGGGCCAAACAAACAAGCCGCGCAGAGCAGACAAACCTTGGTTCTTCTGGCATCCAGTAACTGAACAGCATGGGAAATGAAAAAAAAAAATGAAGCAAAAAATCAACACAAAGCAAAGTCCAGTGCAAGCAAAGGATATTTAACAGAAAGAACTTAATCAACATAAAGTACTTTCACAGAGGAAAAAAGAAAAAGAAAAAACAATTTCTTATTACAGCAAAGACCCATTAGCTACACAGAATCCGTAGAATTGATGTTTTATAAATGTGGGAGGAAAAAGAAAAACAAAAAAGAAAAACCTAATATGAGATTTATTCTACTTTCGCTTTTCTAAATCTTACTGTCCCAGCAACTCAGGGTCTTAGATGTATTACCAGGGAGGAAAGCATTCTCCTGCTATTTCATCTCAGGTCACCATTTTAATCAAAATCACAGCAAAAGCATCAGAGAAACCAACCAGTCACCACTTGTGAGAACAGAAACCCCTGCATGAAGACCACTGATGGATGCAGCAACATCTACCCAGCAGGACCACCCGCAGCCTGGTCAGAGGAGGTAACCACAAGCCTTGAAGTGTTTTGTCTTCAATGCCAACCAGGTGGCTTCCAAAATTTCAGTGACTCATTCATTCACCAAGAAGATACTCCTGTCTGGAGATAATGCTAAGTCTAAGACTCTAGATAGACATAAAGCCTAGCTCCTGCCCACAGGGAACTCACAAGTTACAAAGTACCAATATGACATCTAAATTATATAAACATTGGAGCACAACATTGTGACATCTTTATGAACTCCTGAAGCTGACACTCACACTCAGAGGTGTTGATATCTTTCTGAGTATGGCCTGCACTCAGAAAAAAAAAACTGGGTGATACATCATATTGACTGTATTATTTAGGGGTATCCATTCCAGTATGCATTGTGTTGAGAAATTCCTGGCACAGAGGAGAACAGAAATGTCCTTTACATGTGTGTGCAACAGCCTTACCAGGTACTAACTTCAGGGTAAGCAACTGCCATATAGTTAATGATAGATTATCAATTATTACTGTAATACAGTATATTCATGAAGTGTAAAATGTAGCAGTTTTAGTACATTTTCACAAAGTTGTATACTCATCAACACAATAAATTTTTCAACAATTTCATCATAGGAGCAAATGTTTAGCCTTACAATCAAGACATTGGTGATCCACATTGGAGTGCCTGGTTCTGTATCTTGACTCCAGTTTCCTGCTAATTCACAACCTGGGAAGCAACAAGTAATGGCTTAAGTACTTGGGTCCCTGTCACCTATATGGGAGATCTGAATCAAGCTCCTGGCTCCTGGATTTAGCTGTTGCAGGCATTTGCAGAGTGAATCAGCAAATGGGAGCTCTTTTCTTTCTCTCTTTCTCCATCCTTCTGAAATAAATTAACTTTAAAAAAAAAAAATGACTGCACACTTTAGCAGTCGCATCCCATCCCTTTCTAACCCCAGAAGCTGCCAACCACTAATTTACTCCCTGTCCATAGGGCAATGTCTATTCTGAACATTTCATAACAACAGAATCATGCACTGAATGGTTTCTTTCATATGGCATGTTTTCAAAGTTTATCCATATAATAGTATGTATTTCATTTATCTTTATAATTGAATATTATCCCATGAAAGGGATCTATCACATCTTCCTTCCTTCCTTCCTTCTTTCTTTCTTTCTTTCTTTCTCTCTCTCTCTCTCTCTTTCTCTCTCTCTCTCTCTTTCTCTCTTTCTCTCTCTCTTTCTCTCTTTCTCTCTCTCTTTCTCTCTTTCTTTCTTTCTTTCTTTCTTTCTCTCTCTCTCTCTCTCTCTCTCTCTCTCTCTCTCTCTCTTGGCAGAGAGAGAGTGAGAACAAGAGAACTTCCACCTACTGGTTCACTCCCCAAATGCATGCCTCAGCAGGAGTAGGCCAGGCCAAAGCCAGGTGCCTGGAACTCCATCTGGGTCTCCTACGTGGGTGACAGGGAAGAAAGCACTTGAGCCATCACCTGCTGCCTCCCAGGGTACACATTAGCAGGAAGCTAAATCTGAAGCAAGTCAGGACTCAAACCCAGGTACTCTGAAATAGGATGCAGAAGTCCCAAGCAGCAGCTTAATCCACTATACTATAACACCCACCCCAACATTTTATGTACCAATTCAGAGGCTGAATTATATACAAATATTCACAGTAACATTATTCATATTAACCAAACAGTGGCAATAACCCACAGGCCAATCACCAATGAATGGAAAAATAAAATGTGATCTATCCATTAAATGAAATATTATTCAACCATGAAAAGCAATGAGGTATTGACCAACTATCATACAACATGGATGAACCTTAAAAATACTAAGCTATATGAAAGAAATAAATCACAAAGTACCACACATTATATGATACAACTGATGGAATGACCAGAATAAGTACATCCATAGAAAAAATAAGTTAGTGATTGCCAAGGGGGTAGGGAGGAAGGTGAGGGAATATGGAACCACAAAAGTATTGGGCTTCTTTGGGAGTAGGTGATGAAAATGTTCTCAAATTAAATGGGGGGTGTTATTTGAACAATTTGGTGAACACACTAAAGCAAATAAATTTTATACTCTAAATGCATAAATTGTGGGGCATGTAAATTATATCTCAAAAAAGTTGTCATTGATAAATATGAAGTAAAACTATAAAGTAACATGAACTTCATCCACCAGTGCCCCATCCCTATACCACCTCAAAACAAAGTCCACGGGAGTATCCACAGCCTTCAATCAGCAATGTGGCTCCTCTCAAGGCTTTTGGGAGTGTGCTTTGGCAACTGACTCAAGTCTTGTAAACACTCTTGATGATGGCAGAATTTTGTCCTTAGAAAGTAGGTTAGATTTCTGAGATGATCCAAGCTTATTTTGAGACAAATGTGATCAATTGGGACAATCAGAATGGAAATTATCATTTCTGAGAATAACCAAAAATAAGACTGCTTTTCTTTATGTGGTTCATAGATTGGCCAGAAGGAAATCCAAAGAAAATCACCAAAGTGCTTTGAGCACAGGCAGTAACACTGGAACTCAGCTCTGTAAAGGAGCTGCCCTTCTGGATGGGTCAGTTGACTGCTGCCCTGATCCTCTGTTCCCATAGCTACAGAATGGAGACCCTCCCAATGCGCACCTCACGGGGTTCCAATCAGGAATAAATGAGAGCATGCATCAGTTGCACTAAGAGTGAAGAGGAGAAATCAGGGAGTAAGAGAAGGAGGAATTTTAGTATAAAGGATAGAAGGAAGATAGGGGAGGAGGAATGGAGGGGAAATTGGTCCACTTAACTAACCGGTATCTCCCCCATACTCATGAAACAGCAAAGTAAGGAGGAGGGAAAGACGGAGGGGGAAGGAGATGAAGAGAGGAGGAAGGGGAGAAGGAGGAGGAAGGCGATGGAGGGAGGAGGAAAGGGAGGGAGGAGGAGGAAAGAAGGATGGAAGGATGGAAGGAAGGAAGGAGAGAAGGAAGGAGAGAGGGAAGGAGGGAAGGAAGGAGGAAAGGAAGGGAGGGAGGAAGGGAGGGAGGAGAGAAGGAAGGAAGGAAGGAAAAAGAAAAGAATTTATGCTCACTATCTCATAGCCAAGTAACCCAATAATAGCAATAGTATGTCATGAAGATTGCAACAGAAATCAAAGCCAGGTGGCTAAAAAGCACAGAGAGTATGACTCAGTCCAAAGGGCTACAACTGAGCTATCTCTTGAAGGACAAAGGAGTCAGTCCCTTGGAGAATGAGGAAAAGAGAAGTGAAAGTGTCAAAGCCCAGAAGCAAAGATAGAGCAGCTCTATTAATGAACACTCACAGCAAAATTTATTTGCACTCACCACACATCATACATGCTTCTAAGCTCTTTTAATCCTCACACTTGCCTTGAAAGATAGCTATTGTTACGATCTCCACTTAATGGATGAGAAAAATAGAGACAGAAATAAGTTAAGTAACCTGCTTTAGGCCACCTAGCTATATAAGTAGCATAGCCAGGTGTTCATCCAAGCAGTGTGATCCCAAAAGTCTCTGCCTGGACCACTATACCACTTGCCTTTGAAATGATGCAAATACTTCAGACAAAAGAATGAAGGGGTGGATAAAGGCAGACAGATGGGCATTCTAACCAGGTCACTGCTTATGCAAAGTGGTTATGATAGATGCCTCCACATTGATTTTTTACTAAAGAGAAATTCCATTTTTCAGGGAGTCACTTTACTAGTCACTACAGGACTTCAGCATGATCAGGTTCAATCTGATCATCAGTCTAAGATCTAGTGCTTCCAATTCTCTTTATGATATTCAAAGTTAAGCAAGAAATTTTGTCCAACAAAGGAATTTTGAGCAAAATGTATGTACCCTGAAGACCATGTTTCTGCTTCAAATCTTTGAGGATGGGGAGGGAATTTGGAGCAATCTGTCTCATATTCATTCTGTCTGTCTCTCTTCCCCTGCCTCCCTTCCTCCTTCTCTCCTATTGTTCTAGTTCTTTTTTTTTTTTAAACTTGACCATGTTCATTTTTAAAAAAATTATCTATTTATTTGAAAGTCAGAGCCACACAAAGAGAAGAGAGGCAGAAAGACAGAGGTCCTCCATCCACTGGCTCACTCCCCAGCTGGCTGCAACAGCCGGAGCTGCACAGATCCAAAGCTAGGAGCCAGGAGCTTCCCACATGAGAAGCAAGGTCCTAAGGACCTGGGCCATCCTCTACCACTTTCCCAGGCTACCGAAGATAGGTGGATCAGAAGTGGAGCAGCCAGAACCTGAACCAGTGCCCACATAGGATGAGGCACTGCAGGCAGCAACCCCATCCTCTATGCGACAGTGCTGGTCCCAAATCATTTCAATTCAACCAAGTTTCAAAAATCACTTACTAGATTTCCATCTCTCATTAGATATTGAACATAATTTCAGTCTTAAAATAAAATAGCAGCAATTTGCAGCATTTAAACTACTAGAAAAATATCTTAGACAATCTAATGGTCAAACTACCAGAAAAAATACCTTACACAGTGTGACTCTAGAAGAAATAGGAAGCCTG